GCAGTTCTGCCTGAGTGGACCCAGACTTTGTTGTCTAACCTTAAGGTGATAACATGGTTGCAGTTCAAGGACCATGCATTGAGAACCACAGTTCCTTGGTAGCCTCCCAGCCACCTATTTATGAAAGATATTCTTTTGGCTTGTGAATAACAGGCTAAAGAGCTCAGAGATAATCTAACTCTTCCCCAGCCTTCCCAAGTGTACCAGGACCACCTTTCTAACTCATACTCTTACCACCTTGTCCTCATACAGGCTCCTAAGGGATTCTGCTTTCCTGGGTTGTGGGTCTGTCCTTCTGAAATATGTTAAAGATATTCATCCTATAAGACTCAGGCCATGACAGATTCACACAAAAACCTCCTGGCAGCACAAGTAGAAAGAAAACAAATGTGGGCCATAGACAGAAGTTGCAGGCTTGGTTGCCACTTCCCTAGTAGCTATATTTCAAACAGCAAGAAGATCTCATTTAACCTACTATATGCAAAATATTAATTTTTGAAGATGTCAGTATCAAATTTCTAGTGTGATATTTGCTTTCTTTTCTTTACTAAATCTTCAGGATCAGTATTCATTGGGTATTTATAGCACACCTCAGTTTGGACTAGTACTCTCAAATATTCAACAGCCACATGGGGCTAATGGTGATCCTATTAGACAGTCAGTATAAATACCAAAGTCTTTCTTTCCTCAGAATCCCTCAGCCTCTTTTTCTTGTTAACCCTAGAATACAGCACTTTGGTCTTACAACAGCTCATGTACAGCTTGAAGTAGTAGCTGTGTTGCAATACTGTTTGTTTTTATTCTCCTGAAATGTGTACTACCAGCCTATATGGAGCATCAGATCAACAAGTGCTAGCTAATGGAACTGAATGAAACTAAAATTACATGAAGGTAGGGACAGGGAAGGTCCACGAGCGCTTCTTTCTTTAAGGGTCTCCTTCCAGTCACTGTGACAGCTGTTCCTCTGATTTGTGCCTAGCTAGTAGATCATAAAGAATAATGCAAGTTCTCGAGCCTGCCCTCTTTCTAAGTTTCCTGTTTCACTTTACTCTGCCTTTTAAAAAAAATCCCACCAGGAGGGCCCAGGAAATAGGAAAAATAGTTGTGCTGTTGGTTTCATGTTTGGAGAAGAACAGGGTTTCACTATCTCCATGGCACTTGGCATGAAAGTGGGCTTTGTTGCTGGAGACACTGCTTTCATTCAGGGCCCCCTTTCCCAGCTGCTGAGAGCCGGGCTGTGTTTTGACAGACGGGCCGAATGCAATGCAGACAGTTGTTTTAATTTCCAGCCAGATGCAGACATCACTCACAAGGAGCCCAAAACCCAAGAAAGGGAATGGGCACTAGACTGCTGCTCTTAGACCTTGCGGAATAGACCAGAGGGGTCCAACAGACACCTACTGGGCACTGGGGTCCCAGATATCCTGAGAGATTGAGAATCATCAGGCCTGGGCTTGGGACCTATTTCTCTAGGAGGCACCTGTCAGAAAGGTGCTTCTTGTAGGTATTGCTGACTGTGGGCAAGTTTCAAGGATTATTCTTTTATAGTGATAGCTGGATGTTGTCTTTCAAATGGCAAATGTACAAGTGTCGGGCTGGATGGCTCAGTAGGCAAAGCATTCACTGTACAAGCATGAGTATCTGAGATCAGATCCCTATAATCCATGTAAAGCTGGACTTGGTGGCATGGTTTAGAATCCTGTTGCTCCTATAGCAAGATGGAAGGTGGTACCAGGAAGCATTATGCTTTTCTTATGTCAAGGCTCCTCATGCTGACACTGTAAGTCTGTTTTGGTAGTCCATGATATCATTAGCCTCTTTAATTGTTACATCACCCTCTTAGTTCACACAGGGATGATTTAGAATCAACCCAAACCCTCAGGTATATTATGCTTAAGGTTTTTAAAGCAATAATTAATTCCCAACCTACATTTAAAGTATCTACTTTTTAAGACAGATTTCCAGATTTTATGCTTACCTTCCCTACATTTTATTTCCTTATTGAAGAGGTTTGATTTTAAAGCTGAGCATGTCACTCAGTTGTATTGTTATGGATGCACTAAGGGTGAATGAATGAGAAAAGATGCCTGCAAGTTCAAGTTAGAATGAACTTTTCCATGACTGCTTTTGCCCATGATAATCCTTCAGCTTGGAAAGTCTTTTGGGTCTCTCCACCTAATGATTCCTCTCTTCATCATCCTTTTCTTTCTTCTCTCCTTCCTTCTTCTCCTATTATTCCTATTATTTTTATAAGACTGAGTCTTACTTTGTAACCTAGGCTGGCCTGGAATTCACTAGGTAGCCCAGGCTAGGTATCTTATAGATAATGCTCCTACCTCAGCTCATACTCAATACTCCAAGTGCTAGAATTCCAGACATGTGTCAGCATGCCCAGCTGGATACATTCTTATCCTTGAAGACTCGCCTATAACCTCTGTCTCCATCTTCCTGACAAATTAGCCTGGATGCCCCTACATCTGAGCTCCCAAGGCACTAGGTGTTCACACCAATCCTGACTCCAGTGCTGAGCAACATACAAAGTAAATATCAGTTGGGGACTGCCAATTCCAGTGGACTGTTGGGCTTTGCTCTGGGTGAATCTGTGCCATTTGCAGTGGATTCTCTGTTGCTGAACATCAAGGCCACCACAGAGCTGACATTCAATAAGCTTTCACTGAGTTTACCACGTTAGGATCCATTCAGACCCTCTGGGAAGGATTTTGTAAACATGTTCCCCTCACATCATTGTCTCCTGCCAGTGGCAAAATGTTCATTTTATCATTGGACAAGTGTCATGTGTTCACCTGGGCTCACACTTCTAGCAGGTGGTTGTCCTATATGGCACAGTAAATAAGCTTGTATTTCCAACCCAGCATGCATTTTTGCAACTCAGAAGCCTCTTACCTAGCCAACAACAGACACCTAAGATTTGTTAAATGGAAAACTCAGTCATCTAGCCCTTTTGCCTGGCCTCTATTGTCCCATGTGCTGGGCAGGTGCAGGAGAGTGGTGTCCACACACACACACAGCTCAGGCCCTTGCCAAGCCCCTCCAGAAAACCAGGAGGGGTTTCAAAAGCTGTGCTTTACGGGGGTTGGGGGGTGGCAGGGCAAATTCCCACTAGTCAGGCAAAGCAGAATCAAACAGGCAGCGCTTCTCTGTGGAGGTTCCCATTAAGCCAGACTTCTCAAAGAATGGGAGATTTACTAGAGAAACTGAATGCAGACTTCAGAGAATGAGATAATTGGATCCAGGTGGTACACTTGGTTAGCTATAAAGTGCTAGTGCCATGCTATGAATATTATTTGATGGGAAAAGTTTCTCCCCCCACCCCATGTGTGCTGTGCAGGAAGGATGTCTCAGCCCAAGCCCAGCTGAAAGCTCTTCAGAGATGAGTTTGTGCCACTCAATAGCCTTTCAGCAGAGTTAACCATTTTTAACACTTGCCAGGGACTTGCTGGGCTCTCAAAAAGACACTGGTGGAAAGAAGGAACAGGCTAGAGGATTTCCTTTCTACCTTTGGTAAACTAAAGGAGTCCTGAGCTACCATTCAGACACTTTCTGTTTAGGATTACCCTCTTCAGACTCAACCCAAAATGAGATGGGAACACCTTAGGGGGCATGGATAAAGGAGAGTTTTGAAACACACCTTCAATTTGTCACAACCTGACCTTCCTCTCTCTGCCAGGTCACCCGGGTCCCTGTTGAATCATGTGAACAGTACACAACTTGTGGAGAGTGTCTAAGCTCAGGGGATCCTCACTGTGGCTGGTGTGCCCTGCACAACATGTAAGTTTGTGGTATTCCAGAGGTGGTCCCAGGATGCAGAAGACTGGGAGGTTTCCTGGTATGATGGACTGGACAGTAGAGGAATTTCCCTCTTTTGAACAGTAGCGATTATAAATGAGACACAATGTGGAAGACAGGAAGAGGCCACACAGTTTGCTTCCTGAATTCAGTCCTTTGCTCATCTTCTCAGCTACTTTGAAAACACATGATTATGTTCTCATGTCATTGTGAGAAATCACAGGGCAGCTGTAGAATCCCTAAATTTTCCAAAAGCCTCTTGCAGTGGCTGGACAAGAAGCTAGGATAGGGCATAAAGACCAGATGGTAAAGCAAAGAACTTGGAATTTGCACTCCAGCTAGCTGCTGTGTGACCCTAGGTGAGTGCCTGGACAACTCCAGGTCTATGTTTCTCCTTTGCTAAACAAGGAAAGTGCCTATTTCACAGGTGAATAGCAAAGCCTAAATGAAATAATAAGTGCTTTGGAAATAAAGAAAAGGCAACACAAATCAAAATAATTATTAAGGACTCTGTACCCTTAGGAGGACCCTTCTGGCCTCATTATTTCATGATTCCAAGAAATCTGCATTGCATCCAACTGGCCTCATATCCCTATTCAGATACATCCCCACCATTGAACAACAGCTCAATAGAAATGCAAAATCACACTTAAACTTCCTAATTCGAAGAGCCCAGAGGAAGAGAAAAGGGTGAAAGCCCTAAAGCAGGGGCCTGGCTAGGGATTCTGTTGCCCAATAGTGTTGGAAACTCCATGGCGCCACGCCAGCTACCAAAGCGTCTCTATGAAATGTGCTGGGTTTGGGGTGGAGGCGGAGGCAGAGGGCCAGAGTTCAGGGTCCTGCACAATAGCTCTTGGCTTTCAGCCTCTGCAGCAGGTGTTGGGAGGGCTCTGGAGGGAGGGAAGGGAGGCTTCACAGATGCAAAATCTGGACTGGATTTAAGCCCACTGACAAAGGATTGAGTCCCTGCTTGGGTTTTTGGAAGCATGAGACTTCTCAAAAAGTTTTACACAAGCAACCTCAACAAAACCTGGACAGTATGTTTTCATGTAAGTCAGACAGGTGGTCAAGATGCCAGAGCTAGCCACTCTGCTGAGGAATGGAAAAGCCAATGAATTTGTCTGCCTTCAGTGAGGCTGACCCAACAATCTGCAGGCTCTTTCTCTGAGGAATTTGACAGCTCACTCACAGCTCTGTGAGAAGGTCCCAGGCTTTAAGCCCTCTCACTCTGCAGTAGTCACTTTTTACCTGTGCCATCTGCCTCCTTCCCCATCCTCCCTCCCTGCCTCATCCTCCAGGCTTCAGTGCCTGTTACACTTTGCATATACAGAAAGAACACAATAGAATTACAGATTGGGGTTATTATTTATTCACAGCAAGAGCACTGTTTTCACCAACTTCTCTCTGCAACTATGGATGGATCAATAATGAACCCATCTCTCAGTTACCCTAGAAAACCTCATCTTCCTTTTGGTCCAGGCCAGCTGTGTCTTCTAGAATGACTGAGTCCCATCAAGATAGCTTCAATTTCCTCTGCCCACTGAATTCCTCATTTGTCTTCAGAGAATCTTCCCCACCTACCTGGGTTCACACCTGTAACGAGAGCCTGGTATATATATATATATATATATATATATATATATATATATATATATATATATATATATATATATATATTAAGGTGTTCTATGGGGAAAACAGACTCACTGATACAGGATAAGGTAAATCCAGTTGCAAAGTCCTTGGAAAGCTGGGGACCGATCATAGGCTGCTTCATGCCACCTGATCAGGTCTTAACCGCCCAAGAGAGCTCGACCCCCTTTCTCCTCCTTTTTAAGTGGCAGATAAGAAGCACTGCCTCTACCAAGGTCATGGGCGAAGTGAATTCCCACTACACGCACCTTCTAGCCATTCTACCTACCAAGTTTGCATGGGGACAGGAGCTGCACCTTTCATATTCAGGTTTCTCATTACCTGACATTGTCATCTTCAGCAGACCCTCTTGACTTTCCTTCCACCTACCCTCCCATACTGCCCAGCTAGCAGGGCAGTGAGGACCCACAACTTCAGCCCCAGGCCTTAAAGCCAGCTCTTCTAAAGAAGTAGAGAATTGATGCAATGGTCTGATGACTGAGAGCCTCTGGGTCCTAGGGGAACTGAAACCTTCCTGTCTCTTCTGTGTGACTTGCCCCTGCAAGTGTGTTATTGTCTCCCAGACTATTATATCTCTGTTAGGGTTGTAGCCACAAATAATATGATTAAAAAAAGAAAAGATAAAAAGAACCATTTCAGTGAGTCAATGAGATAAAGGCTCTAGTCAACAGCCTACTTTAAAGCTATTGTAAGGATTCACTTAAACCTCCATAATTCTTTCCTTTGACAGCACTCATATTTGGATCCATTATGTACTTGGAGAGGAAGAAGGGAGGAGCTTGGGGAGTCAGGGTAGGAATTACTGCTTGATTGTGGATTACAGTAGTCCTATGTCCTGTTTGGTTATTTGGTTTGGAGCTGCACCAGCACTGAACCTGATCCATAAAACACAGCATGAGGTAGCCCCAAGCTTCACATTACTTACCTGCCAGCATGGAATGAGGAGCCTGGAGCCAAAGATGAAGATGTCAGGAGAAATGGCCACATGGGCTTTCTGACAGAGGCAGCCCTGGACACATGCTTTGTCTGTCTCTTTGACTTAAGGTATTATTTCATGACACAAACATTTATTTAAAATATACCTTGTGACAGAATATTTTGTTGAATAAAACATGGTATCTTCCTTTAAAGAGCCATTAATCCAGCCAAAGATCACATGGGTCCTATCTCACAGCTAAGACCCTCTCCTGCTTACTAACACCTTGGAGGTGTGTGATAATGTTATTAATCATTATTATTAATATCAATATCACAAGGGCTAGCACAGGGATACATCCACTAAATGCCAGGCTGCATTCTGAGTACTAATTCACTTTAACCTTAGAATAGCCTTACAAGATAGGGTATTATCATCATCCTTGCTATTTTAAGGTTTAGGAAACAGAAGAGAAAGATTAAGTAACTTGTCCAGTGGGATCCAGCTATCAGGTAACAGGCCTGATATTAGAGCCTAACATTCTAGCTGCAGAGTTCATGTTCACAGCCCTGCTTCTCAAGTACCCCAAACTTCTTACTTACTTACTTACTTACTTACTTACTTACTTACTTACTTACTTACTTACTTACTTGAGCATCTCCCTAGTACTAGCATGGTGTTCTTTATACCTAACCACCACCTAGGTTGGAAATTATCCTTGATATATCTTTAGCTTTATGTAATAGTGGACACCTGAGAATACAATGAAAATCATCACAAAGCAATAGGCTACAGTGCTGGGGCAGCAAATCTCTATTACCCAGGGACAGTGGCACCATTACCTCTTATGAATCTGTGTTCATATAGGTGCTCCCGAAGGGACAAATGCCAACGGGCCTGGGAAGCAAATCGGTTCGCTGCCAGTATCAGCCAGTGCATGAGCCTTGAGGTGCACCCCAGCAGCATCTCTGTGTCAGATCACAGCCGGCTGGTGAGTATGCAGCAGGGAGGATGGGGACACAGAGCACACTTCTTTAATACCTGCACATATTAATCAGAATTTCAGTGCTTAAAAAATAATAATTAAAAAAAACCCTATGGTACAATACCTAACAACACATTCTTAGGACATAGTATGATTTTAGTCTTCTGTTTGTTAATTATTCAAGAAAGCCTTAGCTTGCCATTGTGTTTGGTGGGCAGGAGAGAGATTAAAGAAAGACTGAGACTTGTTCAAAGTGTATGCTTAAAGAGAATATTAAACAAAGTAAAAATAGCCCTCAGCCACCTGTCAAGATACAACCCAAAATATTCTGTGTCCTTAGGCCCTGACTGAAATTTCATTGTGAAGGTTTTATGAGCATTCATGAATGTTAATTAGTTAATGAACCTTCCATAGTTTCAGTTCATTCATACCCACCAGGAGGTTTGGGCTCCAGTGATGCTAATGAAACAATCAGGGAGGTTGTGCCTATTGTGGAAGTAGAGGACAAACTCATTGAAAAGTGGCCAGAATTCAGAACATTTTCCAAATTCTGAAAGTCTAGTGTTTTTTGTTTTGTTTTGTTTTGTTTTTTGTTTTGTTTTATCACTAAAATGAGGCTCTGCAAATTTAGCCAGGCCAGAGACTGCTGTTCTAGATGGAGTTCTTAGGTGGCATACATTATTTAGCCATCAGTGACCCTTCTTTGATCCCCTGTGCATCTTGTGAGCCTCCTGCCTCACACCATGGCACTGCTGGAAAGTAGAAAGCACAGAGGGAATAGAGGAGCAGAAGCTCTGGAGAATACAGCTTCCAAATAAATGGGTGAGTGGTAGCTGGGGAAAGGATCTGCTGTCTTCCACCATCCTGATGAAGCTTACAAGGAGCACAAACTAAGGCCTGGATTAAGTCTCAAGCTTATGACTCACTTGCATATGTGCTTTGCAATTAATTTCCATATCAGATAGAGCAGGGTCTAAGATGCATATTAGTACAAATCCCCTTACTTCCTTAAACACCAAGTGCTTTCTGATGCTAGACAAGATTGAAGATTAACAGTAACAATCTTTATGAAAACCATTGACCCCACACACCACACAAACATTTGTTATTCTAATTGCTCAGCATCAAAAATGAAAGATCACTAGACCAATGCCCTTCTCTTATAGACAAAGTCAAGGAGATCCCTGAGCAATTGGTCCTGGCAGGGAACCTTGCCTGGGGCCTGGTTCTCCTGAGCTCTTGCTTTCCCCACAGCTCAGCTTGGTTGTGAATGATGCCCCCAACCTCTCTGAGGGTATCGCCTGTGCCTTTGGGAACTTGACTGAGGTGGAGGGACAGGTGTCTGGGAGCCAAGTCATCTGCATCTCACCTGGGCCCAAGGATGTCCCTGTTATCCCTCTGGATCAAGGTAAGGATTATATGCAAAAAGAGCCATTGGTGTCATGGTAAACATAGGAGTCACAAATACAGACATGAAGCTACCTGACCAGTCTTCACATACAAGATGTTAATATTGGCTTACATAACTGTTTGAGTTTGAAATCACTGTGGTATGCCCTAAGTGAGATTCAAGGAGGAAAATGTTCATTCCTCCTGGGCTGAGAATGTATAATGTGCACTGTGCCCACTTCCTGTCCCTTCTAGGAACAGGTGAGATTCAGGCAATAGATTACTTTGAGCTCTCTCCACCAAACTTGGCTTAAGGATTCTGCTAATATTCTGAAATTCTTTCAGTAATTGAGTATGCCTAACCAAGCCAAGGAACTCATGGAATCTGTTACTGAGGGATAGTCTGGGAGGGATTTTCAGAGGTAAAGCATGTTCAGCAGCCTTTCTATCTATATTTCTGGGAGGCTCTATGACATGGTCTTCCCCTCAGGGTGTTCACTGGACCCCAGGTTCACACTCTGTCCTCTCTTGCAGACTGGTTTGGCCTAGAGCTGCAGCTGAGATCCAAGGAGACAGGAAAGATCTTTGTCAGCACCGAGTTCAAGTTCTATAACTGCAGTGCCCACCAACTGTAAGCATGCCTCAGAAGGATCCTTGCCTGGGTCTGGATATGAGTATAGGGTTCCACTTCCTCCTGCTAGAGCAAGACTTGTGCAGTAGTCACATTAAAGTCTCTCTGGGGGAGGGGGAGTAGTACATGCTCATTTGAATGGCAGTCTCACTCACCACAGCTCCTTATCTCATTCCTTTGGCCTCACCTCAGTACACTCTACCTCCAGTTCTAAAGCTAGAATGGCAAGAGAAGGGTCCTGACCTAGGAGCTGTAAGAAGAGGTCTTCACTTCAGCCAATTGGCAGTGGCTTTGAAGGCAGGGACTGACAGTGAGTGTGGAGGAGTCCAATATCCGCACAAAGGAGGACAGACATAAGGACAGCAACCTCTCTCAGCATCCAATGAGAGGGCCTGAGCTGGAAGATGCAAAAGAGGCTTTAACTTCAGTGTGCAACATATTCCTCCTCAATATATATTATGAGTAAGACAGACAAGAGGAACAAGAGGTAGAAATGGCCAGATGCAACAAAGGCAGGGCAAGGAGACTAAAGCAGAACTGGGTAAAAATGATCACTACCCACTATATCCCAATCCCAGATAAACCTGCTTGGGAATTGCAGGCTTCTTGGAGGGAGGACCTGTCAACCTTCATAATCTAAAGCAGTGGTAACAGAATCTATTGTTTGTGAGAGTACCTGTATTACCACGGCAATCCAGTGTGATGTCACCACATTCAGTGATAGATTTCTATGGCAAGGAAGATATTGGCACAGGCAGCAAGTTTTAGCAGAAAAAAAGCAGGCCTCCTAAACAGCTAAGATTCTATTTTATTGCTCAACATTGTTTTATCCTTCTCTACTCCTGGAATTTGATTAAAAGTCTGAGTATCAAGTTCAGTTCCCTCTTTTTAATATGGTAAGCTGAGGCCCACAGATAATAAGTGCTACAATGACTGACAAAATCAGCCAGTGGAAGAGCCTAGTGGGGTCCAACAAACACCATTTCTTTCACCCTGGTTGATATTCACTATTTACTTGTTGAATCATACGATAGTATCAAGAATCTATCATTGATGCAGTACATGAAATAGCATTGACTCAAACTCAGAAACAAGGTGATTTTAGACATGACTGGACTTGGGGTGTGCATGACTAGAAAACAATCCTTTCTGGGGTATATATGGGCCAAATCACCTCACACACCTCATACCTTACACTAGTCTGAGACCCCTGGATGGAAGCCCCTACCACCCAGACTTAATAAGAACCCCACCAGGTGGCGCCAGATTGCAGACCTATTTCTGTTCTTAACAGCTTGGTACAGTTCTGAAAAGCAGAACTGTACTAAGTTGTTATATATAGAAGCTGAGGAGGAGGAAGGCCAGAACTCTCAGTATGTTTCCATTAGAGTGGTTTGCACATACACAGAGCCTCCAGGTGAACCCAAAGAGGAGGAAGTGCTCTCTGTGGAAAGAACATTTATCCCATAGGCATAGGCTATTGCTCCATGCCAGGACCACTAGAGATATGGAGCAAATGCAATACTGTAACTTTCCCAAGCTCAATAACATAGGTGATGTGAACCAAATTACTAATACTCTAATGTTATTCAAGAGGTTAAAATAATAGGTGATTTAACTTCTTCAAAATTATAATCACATTTAACATGATTCTTTCCAAAACCATTTCCTATTTATTATCTCACTTGACACCAAACAGTCCTGTGGACCACACAGGAATGTTTTTTACAGACAGATGAAAAAAATTTAATGTACAATGCAAGTGACTTACTCAAACTGACATCGGTGTTGGCAGCAGGAGCAAGACTATAATCAGATCTGCCTAATTTCTTCCTCTGCACTCTTATAGCTACCCTGACTGATAAGCAATGGTGTGATGGCATTAACTATCAGCAATCAAATTTTTAAAAATATAATGCATAGCATTTACCAATTTCTATAATTTAAATACTTCTACCATAGCCAATTTCAGCCCATCAGACTGAAAATCTAGCTTGCAAAATTCCTAGAAATATAAACTAGCACACCTACTGCTACTGTTTTACAGGTTAAATAATTCTCACTGAAGTCCCAGTTCATTCCCAATTGCCTGGCCCCATGAACATCTCAGATGCAGAATCTACAATTCTCAGTATTATAATATGCTCCACTAGTTTACCCTCCCAAGAGTGAGATGAGGATGTAAGGATAACAGCCTTCTTTCATGACAGGCCTGCATGACCCTCTTACTGTCTCTTCCTTGCAGGTGCCTGTCCTGTGTCAACAGCGCCTTCCGCTGCCATTGGTGCAAGTACCGAAACCTCTGCACACACGACCCCACCACCTGTTCCTTCCAGGAAGGCAGGATCAATGTTTCAGAGGTAAGAAGGTTATCTGTGGCATGACAACAATCCCAGACAACCAGCCCCTTTGCACTGCAGATGGTCTGTCCAGTGGTTTAACCATCTTTTGTCCTGGCCTATCTTGGTCACCTTATCAGAGATTCTTCATGTTATAAATAAATGATATTATGAAGCTCAAGAAAGTAGCAGCCAATGGCCCCCCAATGCTAAGACTACATTCAAGAGTGTAAAGGTGACTGCCAGTTGAAACTAAAAGCTCAGAGGAAGCATACCCAACAAACAGACTCCATGCTCCGAGAGAGTGTAATGAATGCTGTCTATTCTTTGAGCCTAGCCCTTTGCTTGGCTGTAGACTTACTGTGCTTCAATAGAACATTCACTCTCAACCATCTTTTCATGCCAACTTTTCTTCCAACTCTAAAATTCAATGATTCTTTGACTCTGATGTATTACTGGGTGGGTGGCCTTGGAGACAGAGAAATCCAACGGGTAAAAAGCACCAAGCATTGCCAAAAGTCCTATTATATTATCTAGTTGAAGTGCCTTCCCTAAAGTCTGACCAGCCTTTGTCATTGACACAGTGAAATATCATGTTGTTCACCTTTACTCTGAATATTCCACTTAGTAATTATTCACTAAGGTTAGTTCTCTCACATTTCCCCAATATGCCTCAGCTCCATGAAGCTGCTTCTTC